GTGAAATTGCTAAAGTATCAACTTGAGCAACAAGTACAGTGTGGCCGTAAGTTGGATTGACTCGTAAATAAATAGTGGCTCGGTAATGTGCAAAGTGCCCTGGTAAAATGAATCTGTGGTCAAATTAACTGTTAAACAGACCCTGCAATCCCTATTGCACTTAATCGATAGATGGATGGATTGATGATTGGTAAATTAACTGTTAAACAAAAACCAAATCGAATTGAGTCGAATCGAATTAACTTTTATTGAATCGAATCGAATCGAATCGAATGGAATTGAATGAAATCGAATCGAATCAAATGGAACTGAACCGAATTGAATTGAAAAATGAATTTCAATTGATAGATTGATAGATTGATAGATGGATTTGTTGATTGGCTGATTTTCGGATTGACTAAATTAATTTGAATTGAATGAATTAAACTTGAAGTGCTGTATTATAATGTATGGAATTGTATTGAATTAAATTGAGTCGTGTTGAATTGAATTGAAGTGGATTGAATTGAATTGAAGTGAATTGAATTGAACTGAAAGGGAAAGGATTGCTTTGGGATGAAATGATTGTATTGGATGGCTGAATTGGATTGGAGTTTATTGAAGTGAATTGAATTGAATTGAATTGAATTGAAGTGAATCATTGAGTGGAATGGAAGTGCATCACTCTGTATCATATGATATGTATTGTATTGTTGTATTGTACTGTATTTTTGTATTGTATTCTATTGTATTTGTATAGCAAGTGTTATTCGGAATTACTTGCCATAAAGGGCACGCAAGCGGTTAATTAGGCGCGAAGCGGTGAAAGTCGCCAGCTCAATTGGTGGAATGCCCTTGAAACCGGTTCACTAGCGTAAGATAGAGGAACATGGAATTTCTAGTGTAGAGATAAAATTCATATATATTAGAAGGAACACCAAAAGTGAAGGCAGCTTTATGGGTCTGTACAGACGCTGAGGTGCGAAAGCATTGGGAGCAAACAGGATTAGATAGATCCAGCCTGGCTCTAGCAAAACACGGCCAAAGGTGTCCCCTCTAATCGTAAGATTAGAGTGTGCATCCATCTATGTCGGGAAAACATTGTATTGTATGATATTTGATTTAATTTTATTGAATTAAATTGAATTGAATTACATTATTATTGAAGTAAATTGTATTGTATTCAATGTATTCTATATTATATAAGATATTATATAGCTGTTATGATCCTGGCTATTTCGAAGTGCGATGACACAAAGAAAGACAATGTCGTTCTGGCCCGTTCAATTGCAACTGAAAAGAACTTGGAAAGAGAAATAGACAAAGGAAGAAGAAGAGTAAAGAATGGAAGAAGATGTACACCAGCAAAGACCAATGTCAACTCTGCCTCCAACTCGCCATCACCCTCAACCTCCTTATCTCCCCCAACCTCTCTTATTAATAAATAATAATAATAATAATAACAACAATGGAAGAATGAACCAGAACCAATGTCCAAGTCTCCTTCTTACTACCAGCAGCACATGAGGTCCATCATGACCTACACCTCCTTCCCTCTTCTAGTGGTGAGTGGCTATGGCAGACTACTGGGGCCCTGCCCCCGATGTCCAAGGGAGAACGCAAAGCTGATATGACCCCTTCTACTATGGCCACCATGCCTAACTCTGCCCTGGAGTCTTCCTTGAAGTAGCGCATCCTACTGGGGCCTTCCAGATGCAGCACCCACACAAGGAGATGAAGATGGCGTCTACCATAGCCAGGTAATTACCCCCGTCACTCTCCTCCTAAGCCCACCTTCTTCCTCCTCCTCCTACCTCGGCTGCTCCGCCATAGCTGGAGCTGGAGTGCCCGACCTCCTTCCTCCCCAGCGCTGAGAGCAGTGGCGGTTGACGCCACACTTGCACACGGCAAATTAGACAGAGCTCTTTGCTCTCCGGAAAGATATACCGGGCAGCTTGCCTCTTGGTCGGTGACTTTCCAGGCTGCTCGGCCTCCCAAGCATCCGGTACCTTCATCCTTTTGAAGGGAAACATCATCGCAGGTCTGATATTGTCCGCTACAGGCCCTACACTCAGACTACTGGACTGCTACCCGTAGCCCTAGGCCTACCGGGCTTCAAAACTTCACTCGGCCTCTGAAGGTACTAAATTCTGTCCTTTTCTGCCGACCTACCCGCTACTCAAGTATTTCCTACGTACATGGGCTTAACCTACCCACTTCTTGAGCGCTTCTTGAGCGTTTTCCAACTGCGCGGGCCTAGTCTACCACTACACCCCGCTGCAACCCAGAAGGTACGGCCACAGGTAAGTACCAGGCGCAAGGGCCTTCCAAGCATACCTGGCGTGTCACACACATGCTCAAGCAATCATGCTCTCAGACAAGCACACGGGAAATCAGCAAGCATACACACACACAAACAGACTTAGACAACTCAGCAGAAAGCGGGAATCTCAGCAAGACACACATTCCAGCGGCAAAAGTGAGAAAAACAGCAGAGTTCTCAGTCTGCAATTTTGCTGGTCATTACATAGCAGTGATAGCACTGAATTGGATTGAATTGAATAGAAGGGAAATTGAGCTGAGTTGAAATATAATTGAATTGAACTATATGTATTGTATTGTATTTTTAATGCCTGATATTGAATTGGATTGAACTTGATTTGCATCACTTGATTTCAGTTGATTTTTTATTAAAAACTGATTTGGATGAATTCGATGGAACTAATGTGGATTTCATTTGGACTGATTTGGATTTGGGTTACATGGAAGTGCTTTTGGATTTTGATTGAATTGGATTGAATTGGATTTTGATTGAATTGAATTGAATTGATTTCTAGACTACCAGAGTCGCCCGGCCCAAGCCACCCGACCCGGGCGACCCGGTTTTTAAAATTTGCAGTGGGGCAATTTTGCGCCCACAGAGATGTACCCAAATCCGGACTTATCTTTGAATGATTTCTCGTGAAAGGGTGTCTATGGAGTGGTAGGGTTCGAAGGGACTTAATGGGGTGTGATATAATTTAGTGTTTTGTTTTGTTTGCAAATTTTATAACGAATTTCGGTGTGACCCTCAGCCAAAAGTTGTTTGATTTGCAATACGTCATGACATAGTTTCTTTCCAGATTTTTTTAAAACAAAGCCCCATCTATTCTGGGGGGCATCAGTCCGGTTGCTCGTCACCGGCAAGCCAAAAGTACATGGGAGAAGAGGAAAAGAAAGAGTAGATCGGATAAGAGTCAGATTCAGCCACCCTTGCAGCTCTAGTCGCTTACACAAGGGGGGGGGTGCTTCGGCCGCTCTACCCCCGAACCATGACTCGTTTGCAGGGTGCATTTGTTGGCCGGGAAGCTTACTGGCAGCACCCAGACACACAGCATGTGGATCCTGTAAATGGCGGGGCGTGGGGAAGAGCCGCCTGGCGGCCTCACCGGCCAGTCAATGTCCAAATTCTAACTGAATATCTATTCCCCAGTCATTGTCCCTACCTTCTACTCAATGATACTATCTCACTGTTGCCTTGTCGTCTGCTTGACATCCAGATACTTGGCCTATTGCCTACTTTACTACTACAAAGTAAAATGTATCATGTGCCTCATGCTTGGCCTCGCATTATGTGCCCATTCCCTACCTTGGGATATGCCCCTAATGCTCTGGAGCTGCCTTGGTTCCTTACAGTCTATGTGTGTAGTACCCCGGCTTTTTCATTACAGCTTTGTCTCCCTTCCCACCCTTCCCTTCCCCTGACATACTTGTACCCCCACCCCTACTTTCGTCCTATTCTATCCTCATCCCTCTCTTTGTGTGCCTACCCTACAACTTGATTCTATCCTATCCTCGTCCATTCCCACTAACTTCCAAACCTCTATATTACACATCCGTCTCTGCTTGACATGTTCGTCGCAGCAACAGAGGCCCAAAAGAGACTCGGCCCGACTGGGGATCCAGTACCAGCAGCTGTGGATAGGAGTTCCATCTCTTCCAAAAGCGATCCTTTACTTCTCCTGCTCGGTCACACCGACGAAAGTCTGCCTGAATGGCCACTCAAATATTTTCCATCGCTTGTCCCTCATATGCCTGCAGGGTGGGGGCCCTGCCCTGTGTGCATCGCTCGTTTCTCAGGGTCCGGATGGTCCATGTTAGTGCTGCTCTCACAATTTCCATTGCCAGCTGATTCTCCGGCTGCAATCTACTGGCCTTCATCAGGGTTCCCAGGAGAATGAGCGCCTCATCTGTTTCTGCTACTTCCAACTGGCTGTGCTCTGCTATTTGCGCCCACCATGTCCATAAGGCCCGGATTACTGGGCATTTCATGAACGGGTGGGGTATGGTCTCCAAGGCGGGAATGAGCCTAAATCGATGGACTCGAAAGAGCACATCGCATACTTGAGCAGTACAAATCCGTCGGCGGTCGGGTGAGACTAACTAAGCAGTCGTTGGCTGCTTCGACATCACAAATTCATTTTAACGGTTAAATGAATATAATTTTGGTGTATTTTGACAGGGTAGTTATTAAAAGAGATCACTGTGACAAGTTTTTCCCAAAATATTGTACATGCTACATCAAAAGACTTAAAACCCAAGGTTTCCTCAAAGGGAATGAGCCACAACCATGTTTTGCTAAATGCCGGTAACGCGCCTCGATCGACACCTCTCCACATCCTGTCGCGCGTTGTTGCTCCTTATGGCAGCTTCTGAGAACCAGCCATTGCGCTGTCGGAATGGCCAGATGATAGATTTGCCATAGCAAGCCAGCCTGTTTCTGATCCGGCAGCGCCGCCATAAGGGCACATTGCACGTTCCACTTACGCTGAGTCCATCTTTCGTAATAAATGTCTGGAAGGCAGTCTTTCTTGGCCCAGCGATTCTTGAGTTCCCCACAGATGTCGCGTGGCTCTGTCAGGGAGTTATAGATGTTCTTGTTCGTCAGCTGCTGCAGTGGGGTTATTCTCTTGTGCATCCTCTGAGTAGGCCACTCCCAGTCCCGCGGGTCCCAACTTAAGTCTCGCTGCCGGTGTGCCACCCTATATGGGCAGAATTGGCCTTGTTCCTTCGTCCCGTGCTCGTATACCATTACAGTCTCCGCACCGCTCTTCAATATTCATCTTTGTGCGGCCAGGGACATCCTCAGGGGTTTGCCGTCCAACCACTCTTCCTGGGGGGGCTGTTCCACTCTATAGACCATGTCTGGCCTGGTGACTCCTTTAATTCGCACCCGTTCTCCTTGTGCCACCTTGTCCTTTTTTGGCACATCTATCCATTGCGAGGGCATAACCTCTCTCAGCTCTCTCACCCGTTTCATTCTCCATGCTTTCCCGACGAGCATTGTCATCATCTCACTATCTGTGCGCCAGTCTTTGCGGTCCTCGTCCCATAAATGTCCCACTTTGAATACCCCCCGCTCTGCCCACTTCCATCCGAATGCTCCCTGCTGACCCTGCCATGGGAAGGGGTCGCCTTCTTCATCGCATATGAATTTGTTGTCAAACAACAGCTGGTTGAAAACTGCATCAGCGGATGCTGGCATCCGGCATCTCAGCTGCACCTTTTTCCACAAAGTCAATTGGGTGGACCACACAGTGCCTCGGCGAATATGACCTATCAGAGAGCTACTCAGCAGGCATGTTTCCACCATCTTCTCTGGGACCTGTAGTGCATATGCCAAGTGGGCTCGTGTAACTTCTTGCCATGTGTCCCCCATCGTCCCCAGCAGGACCCAGATTAATTGGCGAATTTGGAGGGATATGATCTGGAACCTCGGATCCAGCAATCCCAAGCCCCCGAACCGTCTTGGCTGAATCAGCTTGTCCCATGCCACTCTACAAGTTGAATCTTCAGCAGCCGCATTGTTCGACCATAAGTGGGCATGAATCGCATGTTTGATATACCGGAAGGTTCGTTTACCTGGCATGTGCACTGCCCTCGCATACCACAGTGTTGCCAACGTCGAGTTCTTCACTACCAGGGCCTTACCGAACACCCCCATGCTACCTTTTGCACTCCAGGCCCTGAGCCTAGCCACCGCTGCAACTGCACGTATCGCCATTTGTTCCACCCCTCCGTAGCTTGGGTCAGGTTTGCTCCTAAGAAGGCCATTCTTGCCCCATTCTCGACTCTCGGGATGTCCCATCCCTCCGGCGGGTCCACCCCCTGGGGCATCACTGCTTTTGATTTCTGCCAGTTGACTCATGGCCCAGATTACTTGCAGAATACACCCAGATCCTTGTCGGCATAATGATGCACCCGTATCATCCGCGAAGGCCGTTGTCTGCAGCGTCTTTGATTGTGTCTTCAGGCCCTCTAACCTGTCATCCGCTCTTAATATTTCATGCAACGATTCAATATAGATGACATAGCGGGCGGGGGACAGTGGGCATCCCTGCCTGACTGACCTCGAGACCCTCAAACTGTTCAATCTTACTCCGTTCACCTTCATGACAGTATTTGCTCCCCTGAGCAGACTACGGAACCAACTGCAGAAGATTCCACCTACACCCCGATGCGCCATGCTTTGCAGCATGAACTCCCACCATACTCGATCGTACACCTTCTCCAAGTCTGTGGATATAAATGCTCTCACTCGCCCTGTGCACTGGTCCTCCTCTAGCACCTGTTGGGCCATCAGGACGTTTGTGAGAATTTGGCGCCCTGCCACGGGGCCTGTCTGTTTGTGATCGATGATGTGCGGTAGGGCGTCGCTAAGGTGGTTCGCCAATACTTCAGCCAATATCTTATATACTGCATTCAAAATGTGGATATCGGCCGCCAGTTCCACACATCCACCTTCGGCCCCTTCTTGTAAAGCAAGACCACATAGCCGTCAACAAATCCCGGCGGGAATGTTCCGACTCTAAGTGCTTCGTTGTAGGCCGCTGTGAGCAAGGTAACAAAGAAGTTACAAAAATCCTTGAATAGTTCCACCGGGACCCTGTCCAAACCTGGTGCTTTCAATCGCGGCAGGGCAGTGATAGACCTTTCCACCTCCTCCCTCGTCACATCTGCTTCCATCCTGCATGTGCTGTTGAGGCTGAGGTGACTCTGGATATGCTTCCATACTTCCTGCTCTGGCTCTGCTGCCATATTTGCAGACGTCCATGCCTCCTCTTCCATGAGCAGCTGTCGGTAGAACTCTGTGACGCACTTTAAAATTCCCCTTGTGGAGTGCTGCCTCTCTTGCTGGTCGACAAAAGGGTGGTCCATTACCGTCATCAGCGGGCCCCCTTTTTTTATCCCAGCGCAGCAAAGAATTGTCGCGTCATACGTTCCTCCACTACAATCCACTGTTCCTTGGTGCGTCTCCCCCACTCAATTGCCTCCTCCTGCCACTCCCTCCACCCCCTTGTGGCCTCCACCCTTTCTGCTCACCATTCGTCGTCCGACTGGCCTTCTCCAGGACCAGAGTTCAACTCCTCCAATTTGTCAGCGCACTCCTCCCCCGTACTTCGGTGGGCCAGATAGTTGCCCCTCAATTGCTTATTCAATTTACTTCGCAGATCTTGCAGTGCCGTTGTTACGTGTGTCAACAGGCCGTCCGCCGGAACGTCTCTCGTCCGTCCCTCCCAAAACTGGGTTACCATTGGGCAAAACTCCTTGCTTTTGAACACCATGCTGGCAGAGACTTCGGTGGGTCGCCTATTTTGATGTTCCCCACTTGATAGCACGCTATGATGGCCGAATGGTCTGAGGTGGTCATCGGGCAGATTTCCGCTTGCTGTATGACATCATTACGAATGGCCAACGCCCAGATCATATCGATTCTACTTCTCTGGGTGATCGTGTTGCCCCAAAAGGTATAAGTCTTGTCATCAGGGTGTATCACTCTGAAGGAGTCTGTACATCCCAGTCCAGTCATGCCATTCACTAGCGCCAGCGAATCGGCTTCCATCTGCCTGCCTCCCACCGCATCCAGCGAAGGGGTCACTACAGAGTTGAAATCGCCTGCAATGATGATCTTGTCCATCTCAGGTATTAGTGTCTGAATCCGTTCCCACATTCTCCTTCGCGTCCCAATTTCAGTTGGCCCATAACTGTGATCACTTCCCATCTCTCCTCTCCCCAGTGCAAGATTACCCAGGCCCATCGCCCCCGCGAGTGACAGAACCAGTCTACTGTTTCCCCTCGGAAGTGAGGCAATATTAGGGTGCACACCCCTCCTTTGGCGCCCTGCGCCGGGGCCCACACCTGGTGGCCCGTCCACCACAGTGCGGGGCTCTCGGTCTTGGCCTTGTCCAGCTTTGTTTCTTGGAGGCAAACCATGTCGATCTGCTCTGCTTTGACCTTCTGCTTTAGCTCCCGCCGCTTGGCCTACAGCGAATTCCTTCCCAGGCCTCTCACGTTCCATGTCATCAGCTTCAACCTGTTCGAATGCCTCACTCTCTGCATCTACCCATTTTTCTTCCTACACGACTTTATTATATCTTCCTATACTCCCTCACCTCCCATCTGTTCTCTCCCATTCCAATTCCGTCTTCCTATTTTGTTGTCGGGGGGGGGTGTCATCATCCCAGTGACACCCCATAGGATAGTATATCTCCAACTCTCCCCTTTCCCACACCCCCATCCCTTTCTGAAAGTGCTCAGTCCCCACACGGTCTTCCGCCGGTAAGCGCGCGTTGGCAGTGTTGAGGATGACCATGGTGGTCTCATGGGCTATACTATAATCTTCCGATAGCGCCCTTGGACCGAAGACTTGGGCAATGCTCCTGTGGAAGTGCGTTTGTGTTATATGCTGGTACCCCAGTCACTCCATCCAATAACATCTGGACTCCATTTAGCGCCTGCCACAGGGCTAAAGGACATTGCATTCATTTTCTCTCAGGATGTCTTTAAGGTTTAATTGCACCGGCTCCTGACGTGGCCAGGTGGTCCCCGGGGTAGCCCCGTCCCTCTGCTGCTTCCTCCCCCTTTGGTGATCGTTCTCCCCATCTTCCTCATTGTGCTCCATTGCTGCTTGGTCCTCTGTCACTTGTTGTTCTTGCACCCTCCCTGATACTTCTTCTGAGTTTCACGAACAGCTGTGCTGCTTCACCGCATGTCCCTTCTCCTCCTCGCTCTCCCCCTCAGATCCTTCAGGTTGGTGCGCAAATCCCTCCCTTTTCGAGCTCTCTGAGCTCTCTGTACTATCCGAGCCTTTCGTGCACTGCTCATCCCCAGAGTCTTGGTTCCCTGTTGGCGTAACTGCCCCCTCCACTGGGAGGCCATAACTGGCGTCTTTGGGGGGGGAGGGAGGCCGATGGCAAAGGAGATATATCCCTCTTCCTCCCTTTCAGCAGGTAACGCGGCTCCTGCCCCTGTCCGTCTAAGGGGGACCGTTCTCTTTCCTGTGCACAAGCCGGCGGTGCCCGCCATTCGGGCTCCTGTTGGAACCCGTGCCGCTTATGCGTGAAGGCTGTTGTAGAAGAAGAGAAAGTCGGGACCGGGAGCATTCTGCCGAGGAGGAGCTTTTAGGCGGACCTGCGGTGACTTGCTTCTGCCTTCGCCGGTAGACTTTCGGTGTCCACTCACGCTTTAGCCTTTCAGTCACACTATGGGCATATCATACACTGGCCTTCCACTCACGTTATTTGTTTTTGATTCTTTGGATTCCTCCTGTGACCTCCCACTGCCTTCCCCCGATGTGCTTTTTTCGCTGCGACCCCCCTCCTGCCGGCAACCTTCCTTCCTCCCTTCTTCGCCTAAATTTTGGTCATCTGCATTGTTTCCATCTTCATTGCTTGCCGGGTTCTTCCCTTCCTTTGCTCCATGGTGGCCGTCGTTCTTGACGCGTCCTCTTCCTGTCTGTGCCCACTACCTTCCCCTTCTTTACCTCCTTGAGTGCAGTTCACCACTTGTCAACATACTTCCCGTTTTCCTACTCCTTCCACACTTTGACCATCCCCACTCAGATTCCCTCCCTTGGTCTCCGACTGTTTCCTCTTCCCCTGTTCATCAGCATCCGTGGTTTGGCCCTGCTCCTTATGTCCCTGTCTGCCCGGGTTGCTCCTCGCTCTCCCTCTCGCCTTCTTCTTTTCCTAACTGGCTGGTAATCGTTCCTGGTTCTTCCCTTTCCCACTCCCCACCGGGGCCCCTCTGCATCTCAGGCATGCCAAATTGCATTTCGCCCGTCCTTTTCCTCCAGCCCTCCTCCGCTCTCCGCCCTTTGATCTTCAGTTCCTTGTAACTCAGCTCTTCCTCTTGATCCCTCGTCTCCGTCTCCATCTTGCTCCCAACGGTCCTGTTGAACCTGTGCATGTTCAGCCTTCCGCTCCCCTCCCTCCAACCCACTTCCCCCCACCTCTCCCTTCTACAATTGTTTCCCCTCCTCTTCCCTCTTTGAATCCTCAGCCGCACCCTGGTTTTCCATATTTACTTCCTGCAACTCCTCTTTCACATCACCCTGATTTTTTTCGATTTCCTCCTCAGTCCGCTTCCTACTTGCCCCGCTGCCATTTTGCTTCCACCTACCTTGGCCACTGCTTTCTTGATCTGCCCCCACCGACTCACCTCCCATTCGGCCCTTCTGCTGTACGTTCACCGGTTCCTTTCCTTTCATCTTTGATTGTCTGACCACTGGTGGTGACTGTTCGGCCGGCCGTTTACGATCTTCGCTAAACAGCCATTGCGGTTCATCCGTTTGCATGGGATCGTCTGCCCTACCTTCCCATGCAACATTACGCCGTGGGCCCCCCCTACGTCTCACTCCCCTCCTCGTTCTTTCCTCTCTTTCCTTCGTCCTCACCTTCTCTCTCTGCCCTCGCTCTGCCGCCCTACCCTCTGCCCATATTGCCGTGTCAATCTGGCGTTCCAAGTCGACCCAGGCTGCTCTCTCAACTGTAGGGTCCGACTGCAATGTTGGATCCATTGCACTTCTTATCTCCCTTTGTTACAGCTCCTGCACTGTCTCTGGCCTCGTCAAGCACCGCCCATTGAGTCCTAGGTGTCCATGGGTATGGCATACTTCACAAAACGGTGTTTCGCTTGTAACAACTCGGACCTCCTCAAAGCTATACGGGCCAGTGGCAATTGCCACACTGTCCTTGAGCGGGTTTTTCAGGGGACCGTCAATTACATACCTCGTAAATTGTTGCTCTTCCTCTGCGAAGTCCTGCATGCTAGCAATTGGTCCGAAAAAGAACTCAATCGCACCCGGCATCCATTTGGCCACCAGCAAAGATGGCTTGAACCGTCTCCGTCTCTCTGCCATTTTGGCTGCTGCGATTTCCGCTGGCAATTTCCATAGGTGGAGGGTCACCTCTCCTTGCACTCCTGCCACATGCAGATGTTCAGCCTTCCACTCGTTTATAAGCCAGTCCCTAAGCTCCACCGTGGGTGCAAGACAGGTGATGATCGTATCCCTTCAGTATCTATGTCGCCTCTCCACGGTCCCCTTCCCATCGTCCATGCTTCCTCTATGTGTCGTGCCCATTCTCGTTTGGTCTTCCGCGGCCATTCACTTGCTCCCTCCGGCAATTTGCATGCAACCGTGTGTGCTCTTACGTAAGTGTTCTGCAGGTACATAACCTCATTCGTCGGCCTCACCATGCACACTCCGTTGTATCCAGCATACTCCACCAAGCCAGGCCCTGCCACCAGCTGGTGGGTCAAGTAGGAACGTCGCAGTATCTCCATGAGGCGCCGCCGCTCGAGATGCATACCCTCCATCTTAGGCCTCACTATTTCCCTCCTTCCCTATAAGGTTCACTTCCGTAATGGTTACATGTCAATATCTTATCCTCCGCTAGCCGATTCGTCCCCCACGCTTACCGGTTCCTTCCGTTGCCGAGCGTTGACCCGAGGACTTCTGCGCTTTCCACGCGAGTTCGGCCAGGCCGATGAACTCTTTGTAAGTTTGGTGTGCAATTTAGCCGTCGGCTCACCCGGAGGAGCTCTGAAGCCTCGCTTCTTTCTCCCGCCGTGTTGTTTCCTCCTACCATTAGCCTCCCCCCCAGCCTATTTCGTATTCATGTCATATTTTCCCTCCCTCTGTTGTCTGCTTCTTAACCCAATCCTTCTTCATGCGATGTCACCTGTGCCCCTCGAGCTTCTCACCTCAGCCCCTCTCCAGTTCCCTCCTTCTTCTCGCTGTTCCCACTCACTCTCGTCCTTATTTGCCTCACTCTCCCCGCCCAGGTGTCGTCTCCTCCTTTCAATACCATTCAAGGAGCCTACCCCCCTCCCCCTCTGTCTTAAATCCCATGTCCCTCCCTCCCTCGTCTTCCCTTACTCGTCCACGAGCGTAGTATGTCACCTCTTTTTCCCCATGTTCTGTTATCTAATTGCCGCAACCCATCACTACCTCTACGTTGTTTCAACTTAGTGCGACCAGTCCGTGATGCGTCGCTGACCATCTCCACGCCCGCCTGTTAAACCTCAACTATGCCGGCGGGCGATCCCATCTGCGGTCACCAGACAACAAAGGGGACACACAGCTATTCTGCACAATGGTTTGCTCCCTCCCTCGCTCTTCTTCCCGTCCCCTTACTTGTGCGCGCCAGGCCGCCACTTGTCCGCCACACTCCCAGTCTCTTCTTGGTCAGTCGTCGTGCAAAGCATCCTGGCCCATGTCCGCGTCCGGCCGTTGACCCTCAGCTATGCCAGCTGACCGTCCCGTCGGCCCTCAACATGGACGAAGGAGGCGTGCAGCTATGCCACGCGCAGGTTCCTAACCCTATCCCCGTCTCTACGTTGTTTCAGTTTAGCGCAAAAAAATAGCTCAGCACTCTACTCCTGGCATTGTTCCTTCTTCTTTTTTATGCTTTTTTTTTTTTTTTTTTTTTTTTTTTTGCACTGGACTTGCCCGGGATCCTGACAGGGACTTTGCTTGGACCTGGCCCGGCCGGGGCCGCCGGGCCACCCGTGTCAACCTGAGGCAACCGGGCCACCCGGCTGGTAGCCCAGATTGATTTGGGTTTTTGATTGAATTTAAAAGGGCCTTTACCCGATATAGGCCTCAGGCCTTGTAAAAATAGAGCAGCACGGGCCTTGTAAAAGTAAAGCATTGTGAAAAGGTTTCTTGCCAGGGCTCAGAAACGTGAAAACAGGTCAAAAGTCAAGTTCTCTATCAACAGGCACATCTAAATCTAAGGCAAAGGGCATTATCAAAAGACTTACCTGTTCACCAGGAGATGTGTATGTCATGTCTGTTCGAGTAAGGGTGTGTCTGTACGTGTAGGCAGTATACCTGTTCGTGCAATGGAAAGTGCCTGTTCAAGTAGTAAATGTGTCTGTTCGTTTAGAGTTGTGCCTGTCCGAAAGTGAAGTCAGTAGGCACAGTCCCAGTTCTGGTCTAAGTCAAGGGGTCAGTCCGGATCCAGACTTTCAAGTCCAAATCCAGGCCGAAGTGCCTCAGCAGCAGTTGAATCTCATTGGGACTGTACCGGGACACATGCAATGCAGGGTCTGGGACAAAGGGAGAGGCTGAATTGAGCCAATGCAGACCCAGCGAGGAGTGGCCAGCACTATAAAAAGAGCTGCCTGCCTCATTCTTCGCCAGATCTCCACTGGCTGCAATGCGTGGAAGTGCTGGTGCACTTGTGCGCTGAGTCAGGAGGAGCAGCGCTGGAGG